GCGATAGTGGTACTGAGATGATAATGATAGACGGGGAGGAGGCATGGCGATATGGCAGCATATGGGGTGGTTGGACCTGGACCATATGAATCGGGCATAGACGAGAGGACGACTGATGGGACTCGAGTGGAGATGGCAGGCAGGCCATCACCGAATCAACTTCCCATAATCCAGCCTACTCTCCCTTTGCCTCTCATTCTTCTCCTTCTTAGGGAACGCATTCCAGAACCGCAACGTCTCGTCACCCGCACCCGTCACGATCGTCTCTCCGTCCGGGCTCATGGCAAGGTACAGCACACGGTTGGTATGACCCGTGAGCGAGGCCACCATATTCAACGTCGGATACTTCCATATACATATCTGGTTCTGCGCCGTGGTGCTCGAGAACCCGTGTGTCGAAACGAGCTCATGCGACGTTAACGACCAAATGAGGTTGCACACCTACCATCCCCCAGCGTCAGATACAACAACGCACAAAACCAAAAGAAAAGAAAAACGCACCTGACTCCCCGTATCAAGCTCATTAAGCATCGTCCCATTAATCGTATTCCAGAACCGTATATGCTTATCCTGCGTCCCCCCACCCGTCGCCAACACCCCCGACACATGCGGATCCCACGCCAGCGCCTTCACCGCCGCCGTATGCTCATGAAACTTCCACAACGGCGCATCCCCCGGCCCATCGTCCCCACTCGTCCCACCCGCGCCAGCCACCGGCCTCCCCGCCGCAGCCCGCCTCGACCCGCGAAGGTCCCATATACACACCTTATTGTCGTTCCCACCGCTCGCGAGGTTCGCGGCCCCTGGTCCGCCGTCCCCGCTCCATTTGAGCCCGCACACCTCTTGGCGGTGGCCTGTGCAGCGCTTGAACGGGCGTACGGCGGCTTCGCGCACGTCGCGGTGGTGCACGGTGCGGTCGCGCGAGCCGGAGGAGAGGACGTGGGCGTTCCATGCGAGGGCGCCGATGCGTTGTGAATGGGCGGCTTGGTAGGTGCGTTGCAGCTGGAGCGTGTTGGCGTCGTAGATGTGGAGGCGCCCGGCGAGCGTGCCGACAGCGAGCGTTGTTCCCTAAATACAAAAAATGGTCAGATCAGGTTGTTGTCCTTGTGACTGGGCCTGAATTGGGGGTGGGAGAAGATAAAGGCGGCACCGACCTTTTGCACCCACGACACGGAACTGATGGTGTCGTTCGAGTCAGCGAGATCGCACAGCTTCGACACAGCTGCATTATGTGCTGTCCACAGATACACGCACGAGCCCAAGCCCACCCCCAATACATTTGTGCTCGACCAGTCGACGAGATTGAGGTAGAAATCGTCCGCGAGGTCCGGTGCGTCGAGAACTCGGTATGGGGTCTTGCAGACGCTGCGTAGCTGACGCCGTGGACTTTCGAGGAGGTGTCGGCTTTCTGCTCGGACGGGACTCATAGAGTAGGCCTCGTCGGTCGGGGTGTCGAGGCGCCGGGTCGGCGTACCGGGATTGGAGGCGGGTGAATGGTATGCGAAAAGGCGACGGCGAGTGGGTGTGGATGGGGGGACTGTAGAGCCTGACGCGATGGGAGCAGGACGCGTGGGTGAGATGGGACGGCGTGGCGAGGGCGGCGTCACCTCAGTGTGTAGAATGGAGGAGAAGATAGCATTAGCTTGTTCTGAAGGTGGAATGTTGAGCAATAAGTCTAATATGTTAATCAGCAACGCAAGCACCTTTGAGAGCATCTGATTCGGATGGTATGATTCTGTTCTTTGAAGGGGTCGACGGACCGCCTTCGTCCATGAGATGGAAGGATGTGCGCATATCGCCCGTATCCCTGGAGGGCACGAAACGGTCGCCATAATCTCTTGTAACCCTCGGGGTATCAACAGGAGAATCTGGCCCGCCACTGCTGCTGCTGGTATTCGGTCGTGAATCCAAGGACGGCGTCGATGCAGGTGCCACTCCAAAGATTGGGTTAATGCGGGGGCGATTTCGCCTCGGCGCTTCATCGTCATGGTCCTGCTGTGCTGCTCGAAGACGTTTGCCGAACGGCGAGTTCTTGAGCCCAGACATGGCTGGTGGGGTCTTTGTGGTTGGACCAGTGGTTTGGCGGATGCGGTCGTCGATTGGCTGGTTACACGAGTAGGAGGCGCCTATAGAATACCTAAGCAAATTTTGGTAACCAGGTTAGTTATATTGCAGCATAGAGAGCGAACAAAAGAGTGAGGGGGAGGAGGAGGAGGAAGATGGTCGCGGTTCAAAATTAACCCTCGGTTAGGGTTAGAATTTGGCGACGCGTCGCCCTCGTGCCACCGTGCGAGAAAATCATGATATCGCTGACTCATCCGAGCTTCTGTCGATCACCCTGACAGACTGACTCTGGCAAACTCCAAACCACTACATATGTGGCCTGGCCCTCAGTATGTATTTAAGTATAAGGAAAATGGATCACATCGGTGCACTTGCAAGCATGAGCTGGTCTGACCAAAAAAAGTCAAATAACGCAACGTATGGACACACCCGGAATTGAACCGGGGACCGCCCGCAGACGCGGAGTGCTAAGCGGGCGTGATAACCAACTACACCATGTGCCCATGTTGAGGTGCCGCAATGTCGAACTCAGAAGGTCATAGCCACCGCGTGTAAACCGTGACATCAATTCCATGATAGAACCTTGACCACTACCCACTACCATGTCGCTCTCCTCCCCCGACTCCCTCTTCATGTGCGTCGCAGTAGCGCACGAAACACCCGGGAAAAGCTTTGAGGTTCCATTTCCATTCGATCCCCCCCCGCGACCCATCACTAACGCGTCTCGCCCGCCACAGGAACTCCGCATAGACGACTACCTCCATTTCTACACCACCACCGGCCGCCCACCGCCGCCCTGCCCCCAGGAACCCACGGACGACGCCCAGCGTGAGCGCCTCGGCCTCCCACCGCTGTTCAAGCGTTACTCTGAACGTTCCATCACTTCGTCCGCCTCAACCTCTACCACGCCCACAAGCCCCGCCGACCTCCCTGGCGCCCAGAACTTCTATACCACTATGCACGAGGGCGAGACTCTTCACTCCATGTCCGCGATCCCCATGTACAAGACCTTCAGCCACGAGGTGCGTTCCTACCCGTTTCCCGCGTATCCCGTGCCACTAAACGCCTAACTCCCCCAATCGTGATCATTTTAACTCGTAAAGGAGCTACGATACTACGCGTACGTGAAAGGCCACAAGAATCCACCCACGCCCGTACAGATGGCGCCTTTCGTCATCGCGCCGGTCTCCTCAAGCTCGCCGTCCGTGATGGGGACGCGTCCGACTTTCGATACGCTCCCACCGAGCGGGGAGCAGATGATGGCTATGTCTGCACAGGCAGAGTACGCCGGGCACAGCCTCGAGGTGAGTCTCCCCCTCCCATTCCGCGTCCAAGCGAACTAATAACCGCCATCACCTCCTCCCCTCCCCTCTCCCCTCCATTCCCCTCCTTCCCTCCCCCTCTCTGTATCATCACCCCATCGAATCACGCACTTAGGAACTCCGCATCGCATTCCTACAAGCCGGGCGCGAAATCAACTCCGCCGAGATCCTCGCCCGCGTCCCACGGCCTCCCGCCATCTCACCCAGCATCAGCACCGGCGGTGGCCCCTTCTCCCGCTCCCCGGCTGTACGGCTGTTCTAGCCCAATCCGACTTGGAATGAGTACCTCCAGTTCCGCGTGGGTCAGCGGGTCCGGCGAAGTCACCTCAACGAGGTGCGCGCGTGTAGTCAGTGGACAGGATCAGGAATAGGGAGGGACACTGCCGTCGACGCACCAGTGCGCCACACCCACCACTTGAAGGGAGACATGACTCTCGGAAGCGGTGGGCTAGGCTTCGCGGGGGTATCGGCGTCGTGGCGATATTGAGTGTATAGTTGTGTAAACCCGGATCCCTTCATATAAAGGAGTGGTGGAGAGGGAGCTTGGAACTTGTGTGTTGCTATCACGTTGTTGTATTGGTTGCTCAGTTGTAATTTATTAGATACCCGGCCTTTGAATCGGCCTTTCTGCATTTATTCGCTTGTTCGTTGCGAATGTACACCGTCCGGGGCTGATAACTGCCGACTGACGACGATTTGAGGGAAGTATGTGCATGTGGGCGGGTGCAATATGACACAGTGCGCGAGCCGACGAAGGGAATTGAATCGAGGACCGCTGCATCCAATGCCAGATACCATGAAAGCTCCAGCGAACGATTGGCCGCGTCTTCAACCACACTCTTTCTCGAAGACGCCATTCCTTCTGCTAATGGACAAGCACGAACGGTCCGACTTCGAGCATCCCTGCTAGGCTAATTAGTATGTCAGAAAACGCCAAGAAACCCCAACGCAGGATAGAAGTACTTGAAGGATAGGTACTTCAAACCTCATCAAACACAACGAAAGCCCCGATATGCAGCCGTAGTGCAGGTTAGCATCTTACGATGATAGCACAGCAATGTCGAAGTAAGGGCCGTCGGTCCAATACTATTTCATGCGCGGGGCCTTTCGCAAGGCAGTCACGACTCATCGTGGCGCGATGTCTGCTGAGTAGTAAATTACTGGGATCGCGACTTGAGAGCTTGAGGGCCGAGGCTTGTCGCAGCTCGCTTGAGAATCGGCTTCAAACATATGCTCCTGATTAGCAACGGCAACAAAAAGGCAAGGTATCCCCTGCAATGGACACACCCGGAATTGAACCGGGGACCGCCCGCAGACGCGGAATGCTAAGCGGGCGTGATAACCAACTACACCATGTGCCCATGTCTCGATGCAGAGCGACCGTGCAAAATATTTGTTTGTCCGCCTGATGAGTCCCGCGACGCCACCTCGTAGGAAGATAACCTCTGCAGGGCAGCTCAAGAATGATCGATTAATGATCATTGATGAGGTAGCCGCCGAAATTTCTGCGCCATCTTGTAGAAGCATCCATAAAAGAACAACTCTGAAGGATACCTGGATAATTGGGACACATCTTGTAAGGATTCATAAAAAGTGTGTAGACTCAATCATAATTGGACACACCCGGAATTGAACCGAGGACCACCCGCATGTCAATCTCAGCCAATGGGATGCAAAGCGGGCGTGATAACCAACTACACCATGTGCCCGTACAAGCTCGATGAACTAATACGATTCAGCTAAGTATTGAGAAGCGAAGCTATGTAATGCGGGATCCTCCGCGAGCCTTGGGTCCATTTGGATGTTGAAGTACCAAGCTAAGGATGCACATCCCCGTGAACCAAATATATTGGCAGGGTATGCAAGTAGAGCAGCAGTTGCAGTTATCAAAAATCCAAAAATTGAATATGTTACATGATGTCCTAATGTATGCGAGCGGCAAGCCCATCCACAAGAGACGCGCACCACGACTGTGCGCCACAACGAGTACAGTCCGAGAAATACAACATACAAAACCCGCTCAATCTTCATCCTCCTCCTCCTCCTCCGCTTCACTATCCTCATCGATATCTCTGTCCTCCACTTCGAGCAGAAGCCGCGAATCAGGAAGCACCCCACACTCCTCCATCGTCTCATCCGGGTTGCAAAAGTACATCGTTTCCGTTCCATCGTCTTCCTCGACGACCAAGATTAATCCCGAACTGTACAAAGACATGGTAAGCGAATAGGAAAAAAGGTCGGGGCTGCAGTGTGGCCATATTCTGGGTGGAGGAAACCGATCGCGACGCATGAAGTGCGGGACTACGAAGAAGAACGACTGGGAAGGTCTACGTACCGGTCATAGTCCACCTCGAAGGTCTTGCACGCACTCGCAAGCACTTTGCGCACCAAGTACTTGCCGCGCGTCTTGAATTCGACTGACGATTCCTCACCGTGGAAGCAGTGAATCACGATATTGAAGCGCCCGTCATCCTGCGCTTTGTTGGTGGTGGCCGCGCCGCCTGATGGGAGATGCAAGAAGGTAAATCAAAAGTAATAGAGTTTGTGATATTGTGTCTCCATACCTGACAGGGAGGGACGTGAAGAGGCGCCAGGAAGCTGTGCTACATCGATAGCCGATACTATGCGTATACGTCGTTAGCATCGCCTTGATAAGGCACAAGCGAAGAGGCGAGCAACGTACACCGAGCGCGCAGTGATTCTGCCTTGGATCTTGCCTTCCCGTGGGTCTTTGCTTCCGCTTCCGCATCCCTATCCTTATTGTTCACTGTGGATGTTGAGGCTTGTCCTGGTCTGGGGTCCTCAGCCCCAAAGCGCCAGAAATCGTCATCCTGGTCTGGCTCACGCGACTTACTCCCCGCGCCCTCGTCAAGGATTTCACGTTCACGTTCTAGCTCCTCGAATAACTCCTCCTCAAACGATTGTTTCTCTGTCGGCTGAGGCTCTGGCTCTGGCTTGCGCTGGGGTTTAGGAGCTTTAGGTGGACGTGACTCCAGAGGTACAATTGGCGGAGCATGATAAAGCTTGGGCTTCGATCGCGACGGCACCTTTGTTGCTGGGGGTGCTGGGGGTGCGTCCTGCGGCTCACTTTCGACCTGAGCGACGACGCGTACGTCTTCACCACGATCCGCATGCTCCTGTGCCTTATTCCTGTCTGTGAAACTCTCACCAGCGTCGATTTGACGCGTCTTTCCCAGCCGTTTCGCCGTCAAAGCGGGTGCGGGAGCATCGTCCCGGACCTCAGTGGTATCGCCAATATCCTCCATTGGGGTCGCAGCTCTCTCCTCTATTCCTTCCACCTCAAGAATGACATTCACTTCGTCCAGAAAATTCGCCATGGTCGCGTACGCGCTCTCATCGATCTCCACCAGGTGTCCACGGCATACATCAAGCGTCATCGTCCGAAAGATCGGCCTCGCGCCAGGAAGAATTTTGAAGGTATGACGCGTCGTAGATATCAAATCCTACATGTATGTGTGAATGGATTTGGTCTATGTGTTTGTCTGGGCTTACTGCATAACGTCTTGGTCGCGCGACGAACTTCCTCGATATTATCCTGTTGTCAGAGTCGGACAAGGTTAGAACGATGATAGGAACATCGCTTGTAGATTTTGTGAGAGGGTTGATGATTGAGGCGATGTGCATTTGCAGGTTATGCTTGATAGTTGCAGGGACAATCTAGTCAAGAACGTTGAAGTTCTGCCACAACTTGTTCACGTTCTTTTCCTCGAGGCGAGTCACGGGACCACGTTCAGGAAGTGCCGCGGCGCTGAAATTGAAAAAAGAAGACTTCCCCGAGGACCGCTTCCTTATCAAACACATCGAACACATCATATTCACTCATTCCTAGTTGCTTGAAAGACGCTTTCAAACATCTTTGGAACACTTTTCGTGACGTTCATATCAACCTCTGAAGGTATCCCGGTTCTTCTTCAGTTTGGTTTCCCTTTCAGTATACCAGCTCAAGGTTCGCTGCACCAATTTCAAGTTGACTGTGTGCACCGACGTTACAAGTAAGTGCGTACATCCTACGACTCAAGGGCATCCTTGGCGCTTTCCATCACACTCCGATCTTGCCATCGTACACCCATCGGAACGCATCGCCTCTGCTAGCATCATAAACGAAGACAAACGCCTGGCTCTCCTAATACAACCCTCTTCTCGCTCTCATGACGACACCATGTATTCCCCAACTCTCTTTCCCCCAGGAAATCATTGAAACCATTATCGACGAGCTTGCCGGGGATAATAGGACCTTGCTGAAGTGCAGTCTCGTGTCCTCGTCTTTTCGGGAGCCATCCCAGAAAACGCTTTTCCGTTCATTACACATCCACCTCGATTCCGACCACAAAACGAGGAACTCGAGCCTTCATCGTATCCTCGAAACCAATCAATCCATTTCTTCCTCCGTCACGTCGATGTGCTTCTATTTTTACGATGATTCTGATGAGCTAGAATTCTCAGGAGAAGTGAACTCGATGGGTTTCTTTGGCGCCCCCCTGACGCTACCCAGGCTGCAAGCCCTCACATTGGACGCTCTTTCTAGTGGCATTGACTGGTCAGAACTCACGATCCCGCTCCAGACAGATTTCATTCACCTCATGCGCTCACCCATGCTTGTACGTCTTTCTATAATAGAGATAGATGTACCCTTGGATTTGTTACGCACGGTCGTGCAGTTGAAGTACCTAGAGATTCGAGACGCGCATTACACCCTCCAGGATTACCCTCCCTCAGAAATGCCTCATCCGATTCAACTGTCTAGTAACCCTGGGTACCTTGACGTTCTTATCCTTCTCGACGAAATACCATACATTCAGGATCACGCCTCTCATCTTTCTTTAACACGCTTGCGCGGCTTCTCGGGTATAATAGAACACCAAAATGACCTCGGATCTTATCAGGAGATACTCAATCTGTCTGCATCCACGTTGGAGTCACTATCTTTACTCATTGACATGGGTATAAACTATAGTGAGTTCAGCCTACCACCTGCAGTCCAATCACCCTAAAATATGCTCTTGGTAAACAGCAGCTCCGATTCGAGACCATCCCGATTTCCGATCTCTTCTACACCTTGAATGGCTAGAAATCGACATCAGCGTGGGTCATTTGTCGAATTCGTTGAGATCCGCCTGGCTAGCCCGTGCTCTCGGGACAATCCCCCCGGCGAACAGCATTCGGACCATCATCATCCGGGTCCGTGACCGGGCCTTAGAGAATTGGGGGCAGATCGACGAAGTCTTGACCCGAGAGCCTCATTCCTTGCCATTACAACGTGTTTTCGTTTCCCTTCCCTCATACCAATTCTTTCTACTTCCCCGGCTGTTTTCCAAAGGTATCCTCTTCGAAGATCGGCGACTCTCACGCCAAACGAGATAGTGAAGAAACGCCAGGGTGGCCCTATGCACACCCATTCGCTTAGTTATCGGGCATAGGTTGCGTTAATACCACGTCAGGTTTTACTTTCGTCTGTCAGTGCGAGAGACATTTGAGGGCAGCCTTGCCAGCATGGGACCATGTGGTTGTTCCATGTCCCGACCTGGGTTAAGTAAGGTAAGGTAAGGTACCTTGGACCTTTCCGGACTAGCGACGCGAAATAGGCGCACTGATCGTCGGACACCAAGAAGTCTTTCACGACGCTCTTCTCTACAGGCATTTGCTAAAGTGCCATGGTCCAAGCGACAGGCCCTGCTAAGTTCCTTTCAATGGGTAGGAAACGAGACTACTTCTGGTATCATACGCCTTATGCCCGGAATGGGTGCTCGACATGCGAGGATTGCAAACAGAATTTCGGCGCGACATTTATCTGGTCTTTACTATATGTGCTACGAGTTGAAGGACGTCGTACATGGCGATCCGGATCCTGTTGATTCCAGATCACAAGGGAACTCACTATGGACAAACGGTGTGTATGGAGGCGATACGTGTATATGACCGCGACTAGGTTTAGCATATCCTCAAGGTTCGCTTCCATCATCCGCTTGAAATATATTGCTCTCATGCTGATATCGAACAGACGAGTATTAGACAGATGATCTTACCTCTCAAACTTTCAGAAGAATGTTCCCTGTACGATCTCCCTTGCCTCCGATTCTCCAGACGGATACCTCCAGTACTGCGACAGTGCAAAACGCACGTCCTTAACAAACCCGGGCGATACCAAGCCGGCCTCCTCAAAGTCTCCCACAACAACAGACAACCAATGTCTGCAACCCTCTCCGATCGCAGCAAACACATATCGGTCACGTTTCTTGGCGATGAGCACCTGCAGGACGTCTGACACGGCAGTCCCTGTGGGCAGCTCGGTGACTACCTCGTGTACATTACTTGTCGTGACGTTGGATTCGAGGATGAGCATGCCGGGCTCGTATGGGCCGCTGGGAGCTGCGTCGACGCGCACGGAAGAGTTGGGGTCGATCTCGAGGAAGAATGTCCAATGGTTGGCGGGTGTTTGACCGTCGGAACCTGCGTTTTCTTCGTTGGAATGGGCACAGAAGTGGATGGACGTGATGGGCGCGGTGAGTGTTGCTGCATTGAACTTGGATGTACCCCAGTTGCCCTCTGTGTTGTAAACGTGGGCTTTGACGAGGTTAGTAGACATCTAGCGAGAATTATGTGAGCATAGAACCGAAGAGACGTGAAGACCGTTGCCTACGGCGAGAGCTATTGGTATTGGAGGTGGTTGAAGTAGTAGATCACGGAAGTT